ATGACATGGTATACAAGACCTTCAAAAAATCACCATCTTTGCTAATTACGTCAAAAGCACGAGATACAATTCGAAGAGTGACGAAATGCACCCATCTCCGCAAGAAATGGAAAGGAGGTTAATGAGGCAATACTCAAGTTTTTAAGTACAACTGCCCAATTATAGTATGTAAGAACAATCATATGCCACGAATTTGATAAACCTGATTTTGGCAATTAGACTGCAGCACCTACCAATACTAAGTGGGGAAGAGATTTCAGAGCTTTCTCAATAGTTTCCAGACTAATTGGGGTCGGTGGGGGCAAGACGTACACAGAAAGTCCAGGTTTAGACAACATGGCGTCTAAAAGTAAAAAATGAAAGTCAGCGACGTGTCTTGGAACACCAGTTAGTAAGCTTTACCAACCTCCAAGCTCATCACGAGGAAGTAAACTTCTAATCTTGTCTACAATTTTGTTGCCATCACCAGATGTTACATGAGAGGGGCGAACAACGCCATTATCTGGAGATATTAATCGAAGAAAGGACTTGAGCGTGTTCATCTCCGCTCTGGTGAAAGTGTCTCCAATCCCGAGCCCTGACGTTGGCGTTGAGTAACTACGACTTTGACTCGATTTCGCTGGATTGTTTTGTCCGCTTGACTTTGTTGTTGTGGCGGCGTACTTAGCCTTAATTTTGTTTGACTGTTGTGTGACAGTATCACCGCGGGCAACGGCGGACATATGATACCGGTACGATATTCCACTTGGATATTTCACGCTGAACAAGCGACCTTCTTTTACGAGAGACTGAAGAGCTGCCTTCGCGTCGCATGGGGCCACTTGATACATTCTTTCCGAGTAAAGAATTACGACCTTTTCATCAGGGCGTCTACGACGCTCACGAAGAAAATCGATAACAGCAATAACCTTGTCTTTGGGCGTAGCCTCCTGTGGTAGGGGCTGAGCAACCATAATGGGAGGTTTCGAAGAATAATCAGTGGTCGGTGACGCAACAGGAAGATTTGTTGTGCGAAATTCTTCCGTATCAGGAGCCTTGAGCACCACAGTCACGCTTTTTCGCTGTCCTGCCGCAGGAGTGCTTGAGGAGTTTCGTGGACGTTTTTTTGATGGTTCAAACAAAGGAGGTTCCTTGGTGTGGAGAATTTGCACGGACGAATGCGAAGAGAGTTCAGAAGCTGTACGTCTAGATAGTCGCGTCGGTGTAATGCTGAGCGGCTTTTCAGAAGCAGAATTCTGGCCCAATATTTGAGGCATTCCTACTGTAGAGTGACGTTAAGATACAGCTACAAATGGGAAATATGTCGGAGTAAGACACAGACACATCTTCGGGTGAAAGTTGTCAAGGCTGCAATGGATACGTTAACTGAGGCACACCAATTGGAGATGCAAAGATGCACAGAAATTCCGCGAACTCACTATATAAAAGGGGTTGTTAGGAACACTTACACACATACGCAACTTCGGTGTCTGAAAGCGAATCTAATCCAGCGACGGCTGTGCATTGCTAGCAACAACCAAACATATTTAAACCAAAACAATTCTACAAGGATCATGTGCAGCAATGGGCTTTCTTATCTCGGAGAAAATACGCTCCAATGGATTAAGCCCGACAACAAATTTAATTAGGCCGACGGCGCACCGGGTCCGCCGGTGCGGGCGAACAACCGCGTCGGTGTCCCGTTGAGCCAAGTGCAAGACCCGGACCAAACTATCCGCACCGGGTAAATTTAAATTTAAAAATCTCATTTTTGACAAGCGCGGATAAATATATTTTGTGTGGAAATTATCACATCGAAATTATATCAATAATGAGAACGTTGTAAAAGCGATCGAAAGCGGCGGACGACAGGTAGCAATTAAACCCACACATTCCCACTCATACGAAATCGATTCCGTCGAAAACTGGCTAGCATAAGCACCTGTGTAATTATCGCTCGAGACACCGAACCCAGCGAGCCTGGAAGCCTTACCCAGTCACTTGTCGCGCCGAAAACTTGTTTAAATTATCGCTGTCCGTCTCAACATTTCGAAAGTTAGAAATAGTATTTGGAGTTAAGTAAATATTTTACCAGCAAAATTCGTCGACACTATATTTTCTAATTTCATATCTTTCAGTTGTTTTCCTCTAAGTTGAGTAGAACAAGGTTTGGCTAGTCCAATTCAAAATTTTCGAGGAAATTCCTACGAGTCCTCACGCACTTCACAACATTCAATGGCAATAAAGTCTCTTATAGGGAGTCAAAAATCCTTTTTAACTGTGTTGCATCCTTATTTGCAAAAATAATCACGCTGCAAAGGTCAAGGTCATTGGCAAATGTACACAATATCCGTGAGTGGCTCCGATTTAATTTCTTATTAATGCGCACTACGAACTGTAGCCTTGTCGTCAAACTTAAAGAACAAAAAGTTACTTATTTAGACTTATGCGGAGCACCTGTACTGATAAAAGAGATAAAGTGCAAATACCAACTCATTTTTTGCTAGGTTTCAGTTTTTGTATGATCAGACCAAATTAACATCACATGCTGCCTGCAAGTGATGTGTCGAAACTTTAGTCGATTAAATCATGGTGGCCATAAGCTCCCCCACAGTTTTAGGATTGTAGATGCAGCAATTGGAACCTACGTGGCCCTAATGATAGTTTCAACAATTCAGAAACTCCAAATCTTGTATACTACCTTTTCTGAATCAACCACTCAATTGTCACATTCGTCAGAAAAGCAAAATTACTATTGCAGTCCTTATGCAGATAGATAAACATAAACCAGTCAGGAAACAGTAAATTTTTGACGGATAATCCTCTGTCATTGTGAATTTTAATGGTCAGAGTCTACGATCAACAGCAAATTACAGGAAAATAGACGAGAAAAACCCATTATATAAATGGCGATTCCACGAAGATGGGCGGCGGTGGCTCGTTTAAGGCCAATGAGGCCTCTCACGTTGCACCTATGCAGGAGTTGGGAAATTCTGCAATAATCATTTTGCACTCACAAGCACTCTCTAGCAACGCAGGAGGCAACGAACATACGTTGTCCCATGACATAGATGCTACCAAATTGTTTCCATGGGAAATCTCGAAATTTAGGAACATTAGCGGTTTACATTTTGGGAAAGCTCACTCACCAAATTGCTAACTCGTTGATTCTTAATATTAAAAACAGCACCGAATCCACAGCAGTATCCACACCGCGTGATCTGACATTTATTGAGCAACAAACACAAATATCGAATTAGCTACCCTAAAGTTCCTACAATCCAAACCCCAACTGCAAAAAAAAACACGGATGTCGCAACCACGAGAACTTCATTGAGATTTTGAATGAAAAGGAATCAAGGTGAAAACAGCTTGACTGCCTAGTTCTGTTGGAATGTTTAATTTGACGAAGTGCTTTAATTCGGGGAATTGCAAATTTTGGTAACCAGCTACAACTAGGAGAAATTAGCTTTCCAGAGTAGGATAGTTAATTTTTATGTAGATTTTATTTCCAACAAACGTGTGAATTAACGTACTTACCGAAAACCCGGAAAATTTGTCGGTGACACTGAGGCCCGGACTGTTATGTGTATGCTTGACTGGACAAACAATCTTAAGCAGCTATTGGTGCTTTTGCACCCGTTATTACCACGAATTCCAAAAGATACTAATCAAGCTGATGTGGCAGTAAGGCCACGCCTCACTAGTGTCTCACGTTAGCTCTTGTGGACAATTAGATGCCTCATACAAAAGTATTTAACTGACTTCAAAAGTAGGAAACCAAAACAAACTGTAGGTCAGGTTTTCGAAGTCGTATATCTGTACATGTACAAAATATACACAGGAGTAACCATACACGGATTACACCTATTCAAATTTATGGACTTTGACAGGCCGCTGGGACATGTTGGGTGAACTGATGGAGCGCTTGAGTCCGCCGCCCCGAAAATTGCCGCCTCTGGCCGACCCACGGCCACGGCCGCCTCGAAAACCCCTGTTGCCACGGCCGCCGCCACCGCCGCGACCTCGAAAACCCGGGGAACCGTTGAATCTGAAACCACTTGCACCGTTTACTTCGTCATTCTCGGGTTCTAGTTCTGGAATTTCGGTGAGTTTTTCGAGAACCACACCATCATCATCATTTACCCAGTTTGCATCAATTGCGTCATTTTGATCCTCGGGGACGTCGAACACAAACCCCTGAAAACCGAATAAAATGCAGAACAAATCTACAGAATATGGTATTGGCAATGTCAGAAAATGATAACACTTGATATGGGCATGGGTGATTTTTTTTCTAACTAAACGTAAGTGTTCACCTAAATGAACAGTGAAACTTTTATGGACCAACCGGAAATTGAGTTTAAGTTACTGTAAATCCATGACTTTCCATTATTTATGTTGAAAACCATCGCAGAGTGCTTCCAAAGCTTTTGGATTTTCAAATGTTTACTAATTTATGAGAAATAAAGTGTGATCCAACGTAGTCCATAAATTGATTTAACAGATACCTACAATTTCAAATTTGACAAAAATTCTCGGTGCTCAACTTCTTACACATTATTCTGTTGTCCTCTTTGAAGGCACTTATCTGATAATGCATCAATTTGATGATAATGTATAACTTGGCTTCGAGGATGGTAACTCCTGGTAGGAGAAACCAACGACAAGGAATAGAAACTCCTCAAGTGGACGGCTAGTTCAATTCGAACAAGTATGGGTCCTTGTGTCTGTTTGAATCTTAGTCTTAATGAGAAATAACACCAGTGATAAAGTGGACACGCCAAACAAACCTTTCTTCCTTTAATGAGGGCCAAATTACGAATGGTGTCGGTGATGGCTGGCCCAAGGTATCTGCCAAGAAGAGAATAGCAGAGACCTTTTCGATGAGCGGTCATGTGTGCTGGGATGTTCAGACGGTAAGCAGTTAGACCTGCGTGAGCTGACAACACGGATCGATTCTCGAGGGTCTTCATCTTTCCTGCTATTTTGGCCAACGCGCAGCATAATACTCGCTCGTATACGCGAATCAGGGAGCTTTCACTACCGTTGTGCTCCTCTGCACCAGCGTCATCATCCGCCTCCTGTTTGGCTGCCTTCTTACTCTTTTTGGACTTCTTCATGGGTGCTGGTGTGGCATTGCTCGGTACCTCTGGAACTAACGAATCAACTAAGCTGCGAGCGGCCGGAAGGAACGTCGACCACGTGGTTTCTGGAATCTCAGCAAACGCCCTAAAATGGAAAAGTCCATGCAGTTATATAATTTTGACCATCAATACACTAGGATGGCTTTGAAATAACTAAAAATCGGATTATTGCATTTAAGGAATAATATGGACAAGTGACGGTTACTTTAACGACAACCTTGCAAAACGAAAATGGATCTACTGTAAACACAGTAAGCGTTACCATCACCACTAAGCAACCTTATTTAACTTGATACAGACAAAATACCAATGTGTGAAGGTCATTTATGACACAATTGTCAGATAACCTGGCACTTGAGATCCCACAAGTACAGTACAAAGTGTGTTTGACCTCTGAAGCAGAATACAGCTTTAGCGATGCGTTGCCGTACGAAATAGTTACACGGCAAAATAACTATGGTAGGAATTACTGGTATATACCTATGAGCACCAGTCCATTTCCGGGTGAACCGAACCTAGAAATCGACCCAAATTAGGAATCCCACTCCTTATGTAGGGCAAGGCGGACTTGGATACAGCGCACAGTATAGGTGCAAGGTGCCACAAATTAAATCCATGCCCTTAAATCCAGAGAATCAAAATATCCAATTATGCCCCTTTGTATTTCCTTAGATAAAATTAGCATGGTGGAAGAGGCCACTACAGTAGGTATGTCAGCGAGTAGACAAGGTGAAATTTGGATAAGACACCCTACAGGCTGATTAAGATCTTTTACACGACGTGCTTCAGATTTCACAAAGCGTGACGAACAGGACAATTAGATCCAGATTATCTTCACACTGGGTCATTCACTAAAATATTGACTCATCAGTATTATAAAATTGGTTGAAATATAAATACAACCTAGTTTATTCATAATTGGCAAGTAATGTGCGCTTACTCTGACAATTCCGAGGCCCAAACTTCGACTATATCACCTGCTGATGGAACTGAAATGCGCTTAAAAGTGATACCGGCACCACGCTCAATGTATGAAAGTTGGTGGCGCTGTTTCATTGTATAAAAGCAAATGCTGATGCCATTACGACCCGCGCGACCAGTTCGCCCGGACCGATGAATGTAATCCTCAGCAGTGGACGGCGGAGCGCACTGGATGACCAATTCAACATCAGGGATATCTAAACCGCGAGCCGCCACGTTGGTCGTCATCAATGTCTTGTATTTGCCTTCACGAAATTTCTGCAGAACAATCAACACCTCATGAGGGTTATAAAATGTCAAATTTTCACAAAAATGTGTGCCATAACGGCTGTTTTCAATCACCGAGAACCAGGTTACCAGGAATAACCTGTGTCAAATTGCCGTAAACTCCAGCAACCCGACTGTTGACATGTGAACCGAAAATGAGGATAAGGCTAAGCACTGAGTTTAAAAACGAGTCAAGAATAGACGTAATAAAACACGCATTTTAACGGTAGTCGTGGTGGATTACGAACACAAATAGAATAGATGTACTATTCCCTATGTGGATACACTGGAATTTAAGTGGTAACCACTGACAAGCCCCAATAGTAGATGACCTGTAAACTAAATCAGATATAGCAATCAGTAGATTGAATTGATGGCCAAATGATTAGCAAAATATTCTAAAAGAATAAAAGATGTGCATTTAAAAAGAAAATGATTAATCTGAGGCTACTCAAGCGAAAAATTGCAAAGTGTACCTTACCTGAAGTATGAATTCCCGTTTATCTTGTGGGACGTCACCATGGAAAACGTGACAGTCGTTAGCCATTGCGTTATGGGCTGCAAGCTCATCCGCCTCTTTTTTTGTTTCACAAAATACAATGCATCTCGACGACGATCCTCGTGAATAGACACGGATAGTGTCAGCGATGGCGTTAGCGCGTTCGTAATATGGACAGAGTATGGCCATATGCTAGCAGAACTCAAAAAAGAGGGAACCGATTTACCTCCACTGTATCTGATGTTCGTGACTCCTCTTCACTGACGAGGGTTATGCGCTTACATTTCGGCGAAACGTACTTTGTACAGATATCAGAAACCCATTCAGGCAAAGTAGCCGAAAAAAGTAAGGTCTGAGGTTTTTTTTCTGAGGCATAGAGAGAAGAAAGAATCTTTTCGACATCTGCACTGAAACCCATATCTAGCATTCTATCAACTTCGTCAAGAACAACGTAACGAATGTCGTCCAATTTAAGTTGGTTACTCGACATCAAGTCAATTATGCGTCCAGGAGTGCCAACAATGATGTCAGTGCCGGCTCTGAGAGCTTTAACTACAAGACAATAAGCAAAATTGTATAATACTTTGCATTTGGTAAGGTACGCCTCCGTAGACAGAAAGGACGATAAGCTTTTTAGAGGCAATAGAAGATAAAACTGTTGCTGTTTGTGTAACCAGTTCCCTGGTGGGTGCAAGAATAATAGCGCAGGGGAGTCGACCATATTTACGTTGGGTATTATCAGACTGAATGAGTTCAATAATTGGGATCGAAAACGCAAGGGTTTTGCCTGAGCCAGTTTCTAAAAAAACAGTAAAACATGGAAACAAATTCATACTTGCAAGTGTAATGACGTCATCACCATTCTTTATGTGTGAGTACGTCTCCGATTGTACCTTGTATAAACTATCGACGCCAGACTCCCTTAATTTGTTGAGCGTTTCCGTAGAAATATCGAAGCATGACAAACTCGTCGACTCCATAACGTGCACGCCCAACTTCGAAAAAGTGCCACGAAAGGAAGACATTTTGTGATACAATTAAACATTCATTCAATGTCAAAGCAGATGCGTAAATAAAAGCGCAAACTCTGTACATCGTAATTGCCTTTACCTTTTCTAAATTAAATTTATTAAATTCTTTTTACAAGGCTCAGAGACGTTACCAAAAAATGTCAGATAGTGCCTTAAAATTATTTTGTAAACTTGTAAATTTAGACGAAGGTGGGAGATTACAAAAGGTTGACTAAGCGCATGATTTATGTCCTAATATTCATTGGTAACTTTGTAAAAAGCTTATTCATTACTTTTTAGTGGTTTCTTGAGCATAAATCTTAATTCACCCTAACACCTACACCGCTGGTACATACTGATGTAATTTGTACAAAATTTATATACTATCATGATAAACATGACTGTTAATTGGCTGTCGAAAATTTTTCGTACAATATTACATACAAACCAGTGATAAACCGATAGCATGAAGAAAACTGGTACAAAATACCAATCATATTAAATTATAATCCATTGGTTTAGAAAGCAAACTGTGCAGATAATTTGCTTAACTGGATAAGATGAACCTCAGGCCATTATATTTTAAAAGAATATAGACAGGTTAATAAACCTCTCGAAAGTCTTCATCTTGAAAGCTTCCAGTTCGTTAGCCACATATACCAAATTGTTACAAATCTTTTGTCTATTTGTGTCAATTTTGAAATTTTTATATCCTGTTTTTGTCAAATGTGGCATACTCGTTTTGAAAAAATTTGTGCTGGTTACATATTGTGCAGAGGACGTTAGCTACATAGGAATGCAATAGCAAAACCTGGACTTGTCAATCAAGTGAACTGAGCGTAGTATGCTCACTAGTCGATTCGGTTGAATGCTGCTATAAAGTCTTTAGTCATAACATATTACGTTTTATTAACTAATGTTGAATCCATGGTTAATGATCCGGTGTAGGTTTAAGAGGCGTGTGAATGCATAAGTACAGGCAGTAGCAGTTTAATGACTTTTGCAAATTTTGGGTTGAAGCGTTACGAATCACTTATTAACCCATGCAAAAATATACTGGTTCTCATTCACGAATTATCAAATGCAATAACGTTGTAACAGCTCCTTTAGAAGTAATACTAGTTAACAAACGCAAATGCCCAAAAATTTAAGAGACACTAATGCGCGGAACGGAGAGAATTGACAGTTCTTCTAGCTCTGGACTTATATCTTGACAAGTCTTTTGTGGTTCATAGTTAATGGTCTTTGCTATAAGAAACTCATGAAGATAGATAAGAGGAAGCGAATGAACACAGACATGCGCTTAGGTCAAAGCATCAGCCAAGACGCAACAATTAGCATCAATATGGCAAATACAGGATGTACAAGATAAATAAAAATAAAGATGGTTCCAGACTTCTCACGAGGAAAACAAACCAAATTCTGCCCGGAAATAATAAGCCAATGGTTAAGAATCATAAACCAAGTTGTGCTTTACTGGCCTCATTTTAAATTTATCATTCTATGAGCTCATCTTAAAGCAGTATGTTGACAGCTGGCCAGGTAAATAACATACTACAGCGCCGCATATAATACTGTTAATCAGTTTTCAGATTACGTCCTGGAAAGTAGCAGGCTTCTAGTAATATTTTCTACAGTTTTCATTTAAAAGAGGCAGTGAATTTTATAAAAATACTTGTCTATTGAGCCTCATTGGTCAGGAGGCTGGAATTGGTTAATTATACTAGGGTAACACGGCAACAGTGAAACGTCATGTACGTCAACTAACCCTCTTCAAATGACGGACCTCGTGACAAAGTCCAAAGGCCTATTTAAGAATATCTAAGAATTTGTAAAAGGATATCAGTACATCGAGGTATGCCTTAGTGACCTATCACAAGCAAAAATCTGCCATCGACCTCATCCACCCAAGTCCTCCATACTGGTTTCACCTCCTTTAAAAAAGTTTTTGTTTGCATTTTGCCTTTGGTTAACTGCTAGAATTTTTCATTGCCAATTCACACGTCTACAAAAAGAAATTTCTGAGCTCGGTATGATCGAAAATGTTTGAGCAATTTACAGGAACCATACACACAAAATTCTGGCAATATTCTAAAACGAAAAAGAGATGAACAAGAAGAAATCACTTATAGTTAACGCAGAGACGACTAAAAGTGAGATAAGGTATACAATGATAAATACACTCTTAAATATTTAAATTTTGACTTTTCTGATCTCGGACTGATCCATGTGCCTTCCTTTCCCGCAGGCCATTGGATCGCAAAGAGACACGGGATTGGCTGAGGCCAGGTGGTCCAACATCTCTGCGCCCTGATCCCACGCCACACCACACCACAGGTGTGCGGTGCTGCTGATAGCTGTGCATTTCAACATGGGGGTTGGTGCTCGAGTTGATGTAACGTACTTTTATGTAGGATAACAGAATTCAACGTGTAAAAGAGGCTATAAAAAGTTATCCAGACTTCCCGAAACCTGGAATAGTTTTTCTGTGAGTTTTTTTCATTTGCATATTGAAATTTAGTGATATTTTTCCTATTTTTAAAGATGACTCATTAATCGAGGACTCGATAAACATCATCGCTGAGGAGATCACAAAGCAGTACATGCCGAATGGAGAAGTAAGCAATCGCCCTTTGCTCTCTACTTTTAAGTCCATTGATGCCATTTTAGGACTCGAGTCCCGGGGTTTTCTTTTTGGAACATTGCTTGCAGTAAAGCTGAAATGTGCCTTTGTTCCAATCCGAAAGGCGGGCAAACTACCGGGCGACTGCTTCAAGAAGACTTATGATCTGGAATATGGTTCGGTAAGTATTTCTTGGTAATATTTTTTTTTAAATGTTCAGTGTTTAAAACATTTTTTGGACGCGATCAAAGTGTAGAATTTAATGCCGGGCTTTCTATTTTCACCATTCAAATATCAAACTTGTTGATTAAAGTGTTGTGCTATTGTCTTTCACATTGCAGTTCTCATTCTCCTATCAGTTTATTGGTATAAAGAGGCTACTGCCACCCTGTATCAAGAGCGTCTTTAGTTTTTAAAATCATTTTCCAACGATAAGACTTACTCAAATCCTCTAGAAATATCGAAATTGAGACTGAATGCAGTTCCATGCACAACGTCCTTCCAACTTATATTACGAGAAGCGACTAGTGTTAGTCATGGGGAAGCTCAAGGTTCATTTACCACTGGCTATTAGATATTCGCGTTAGGAATCAATCGTGCCGTTCTAGCCACCTTCCGGCATTGATAGTGACTTCATCCGTGGTCTAGTGATTAATATTCCGTGGATTGCCAGTGAAGACATTGCTAAGACTAAATGATGATGTATCGGATGCATTGCCTTATTTAAAGTAATTTGGATGCAATTTAAAGCCCGAATTGTGGATTACGCACGTTTTGACAGAAGGCAACCAACTGACCCCTGTTCCCACAGCACTTCTTCCCCCCGCCCGTCAACAAAACATACGTTTCTTTGATCAAGTCATTGTTGGTAAAATAGTAAGAACTAAAACCCGAGCACAGAAGTGCGAGAAAAATTTATGGTAAAGGCTGAATTGCAACCATTGAAGGTGTTGTTATGTATCTAGTGGGACTGCAGAAAAGTAATTCTTTTACGAGCTTATTCCACGTCGCAAAACAGTGACTGTAGGGAGGTACTGTGAGCAACTGACTCAAGTCGGTGTTGTAATTCAGGCATTCGAAAAGGCCCACTCTCTCGTGATAACTTTAGACCACATTTAGCCCAACAGAAGCAAAAATTTTAGGGAGTTAAATTTGAAAGTCCCCTCACATCCGCCGTATTCTCTTGACTTTTTCGTCTGTCTTGTTCTCTGGAAGTAATTTGGATATTAAAAATAAGGAATTCAGGAACTTGCAAAACTGATAGTCAGTTATGGCAAATAATGAAGGTTACATTATTGATTAATACTATTATTCATTAAAAATGTTGGTTTGGTTTCAAATTCGGTACGAAGTTTTGCACTCACCCGTTACGTAGACCCTGCTTTACTGCTATATCAACTGCCACGCTTTTGTTCATGTTTATAGGATCTTTTTGGTGCGATGAATCCCACTAACTAGCGTGGAGGGGACGCCTGGGTCAGTAAAGACTTGCTACCAGGTTACTCTCCCCTATGCTTGAGCTGTTCAACTACAGTCAGATTATTAGGCCTTATTCTGGTAGTCCCGAATCCTATGACGTAAACTACAGATTGTTAACTGAGAAAATTATAGTTTTGCGGAACGCTAACACCTCTAACAGATCTCAATTGACCTTGTTTTAGCCTAATAAGTGAGTACTTGGGACTGTAGAGGTATATTAGTCGTAGTTCCAAATCCCATGGTCCTAGGAGCTCCTTCATTCTTGTGGAGTGCTGTTGTGCGACAAAAAAACACTTGTTTTCATTACGTTAAGTTAGAGCTCCTTGTAGTTCTCCTTGTCAATCAGGCAAAAATGCATTTCTAGCTCAACATTTTCAAGTCAACCCGATGTTCTCAGAGCAGCGGGGGCACTGAAGGTACATTAAATCGTTGCCAATGCGTTAGATGTGACATGTTCGTTGCCATTTACTACCTGCTGGCGTCGCTATTTGTGTTTGTGTAAACGCTCGATTGGGATTTTCTTGGTTTTCCGCCTTAGCTTCTGCTTCAACACCTTTGATACCATTTTTATTACGTACGTTATGGACCGTTAATATTTTCCCTTATTTCCTTGTTACAACGGCAAATATACCCTTGTGGTATCAACGCTCATCCTCGTAGCACTGGCTACAAATTTAGCTTTCTGAAAATCACAGTTGTGTAAGCAACTTCTTTGATATTCTAATCAGAGTTATGTCCACCCGGGTATCCTCATTGCCATACGATAGGTCTTCCATTGTCGTAACTTTTCCATGTTTCGGCGCATTCGCTCCACTGGCTTTAATGATGTAAGAAAACATTTGTACTTTGACGAGTGGTAGGGTATGCTTAGTCATTCGGTCCCTACCATGCGAAATTCCTAGAACAAGCTCCTGGAAAAATACTTAACTACCTCTTAGGTGTAGGCCTGCCGTTTTTTTGTTGGATCATTTAACAAATGTCTCAGGGGCTTCCTTTACGGCTACCTTTTTAAGTAAACGTCGAGCCCCAAAGTGTGCTCACACCTCTTGCTTTAACAAGTGGGTCAATGTTAGTGCTCACTCTTGGTTGTATTGAGTAAACGATAGGGGCATTCATTTAATTTTGTGTGTAGCTAAAAATTCAATAAACACTGATCCAAGAGTTCTTCGTATCTGGTTTAATTACTATTTTTGTTTTGTTGTGGGACGAAAGGGGAAAAGGGCATGGCCTTTCAGTCGCCGCATCTTGTTGTGTTGCTGTTTGGTAGAGAGTTACGTTCTGTAGCAAAAAAATGTGTCATGATTTGAGCAAGGAAAGTGGTCACAAACAGGTAAGTTAGAGAGTCCCGCACAGTGGTGCAATGCACAAACTGTAGGGATAAATGCCAAAAGTCATGCTCACATCGATGCGATCAACAAGGCCA